ATAATGGTGAAGATAATATACAAATTTTAATTAATTATATGTTATTTATAAATACAATTGATTTAATACATAATGCAAGTTTTTCTTGTACAGTTCAAACAACATTAAAATGTAAACAAACATCATATTGGAAATTAATTGTATTTGAATATACACAACAAATTTCTAATAATTTACAAACAAATCCATTAAATTTTGTTGGTACATATGGTATTGTATTACCAGGTTCAACACCATGGCATGTTACAATATCTTATCGTGATATATCAATGAATTTTTTTTATGATGCATTTTGTTCTGGTTTATTTATTGATGAAAATACAATTTTAAGTATTTCACAATGTTTTGATAAATCATCATCATTACAAACATATCTTAAACAACAAAATTTAATATTTGATCTAACAAAACTTATTATTTATGTTTCTAAATATGATCGTTTAAGTATAAGTTTATTTGAACGACAATCAACTGTTAAACAATTATTATATTCAAATAATGATTTTATTATTTTAAAAGTACATTTACTTTTTATGAGTATAGAATCTCGTCCATTACCATTACCAACAATGAATGATATGGCAATATTAATTAATAATGTTTCTTTATATGCAACTGGTTGGGGTCCATTATCAACAAATGCTGATAAACCCATGCGTCTTAAATATATACAACAACGATTAACTGATTGTAATATATCATCATCACCGATAACATTATGTACAACAGCTATGGCTATAAAACAACCAAATTTATGTCCAGGTGATACTGGTGGAATACTTTTTGCACAAACAAACCAACGTATATTTGCTGTTGGTCTTATATCACGATTTTCAAAAGCATTTTGTGATATGCGTTCAACACAAATAACAACTATTCTTCGTCTTGATACTATAACGACTTGGTTAAAACAAAATTCACTTGTATAAAATTCAAGAACTTATTTTTGTTTATCTATTTCCGCTATATAGATAACAAAAAAAAATGTTTCTATGTCTGATTGAATGAAATGATGAAATAAAAACTTTTTTATTAATTCTGAAATTAATATAAATTTTGAAATTTTTGATTAATAAACAAAACGAAACGAATTGAATTTTAATTTAACTTTCATACATCAATTAACCTATGACATGTAAACCTTAGTACAAAATATTCATCCATTTTTCGACCACTTAAAGCTCCCTCAAAAAAAGTCATTTTTCGTCAGAATGGTCGAAATTATGATAAATGCATAGGAAGATGACCCGTCATTTGATCTTTCATAAACAACAAAAATTTTTACTCGGTACCTCGTTTTTTTCAAAAATTTTTGAAGATTTCTGTCATCTCCTATTCGAAAAATAAGTTGTTGTCAGAAAAAATAGAACTCTGTCGATACTCATTCAACATATTTATTTTTTTTTTGTTTGAAAGAGCGCATCCAGATGCGGTGCAGTACAGAGCGCTTTTTTTTATTATATATAAGGACACTTATATAATTCGGCACCCATATTTTAGGGGTATTTTGAGTCATTGAACTTTCCATCTCTTTTTTTCTCTTAAAAAGTAAGTATTTAGAAAAAAAGAGCTCTATGCTGCACTGCATCCTGACATGCTCTTTCACACAAAAAACAATTAAATCGCTATAATGAACTTGGACAGAGAAATTTGGTTTGCCAAATGAACTATTTTTGATCCATGTTTGGTCAATGTCTCCATCAAACGTCATGATATCGGGTTGAGAACTTTACCACAGCCTTCCTACACCAGCCCCAACATATCCTGAAAATTTCATGCCATTTGAACGTCTCTGGGCTGAGATCGTTTTTTGAGGAGCCTTAAAGACAACTGATTAGAGCTAGTTAAAATCAGACTTTTCAGAATATGTATTCGGAATTTCCTTCTGGAGTAAGATTGGACCACTGTCATCAGATTGTTTCAAAATATTGATTGTACAGAACAGGGCTCAAAATGGGAGGCTTAGCTTGACCTAGAGAGATTTTTCCTCGATCGGATGGGCCTCGTCAAGGAAAACCGGTGGATCCGACAGTCTAAACTTTTCTTATTTCTTTTTCAAGGAAGATTTCCCATGTAAGAAAACAAAAAAAAAACATCTGATTTTTCGTCAAAATTTCTTATAAAGGTTTTGCATCTCGGAACTGATAACAATCAGGAGTCTTTATAATGCAGACCTTTTATTTAACCAATAATTAAAAGCAGAACATTTATTCGATTTGATGACAATCCTTATCTACACACAAGTAACGCGACCCAAACGTCGCTCACCCTCTACAGAAAGGATGTGCTGTCGTTAAGCACACCTATTCGATCAACAGACTATGAGACCTAATATTGTCGTACACACTTAAAGGAATAATCCATGGACATATATACATATGGTCAAGTTCCTAAAAAATCTAAGAAGTGCAGACCAATCAGAAAGTAAAAGTTTCACACATTAGCAGTTGAGGAATCCTCTACTGATCTGGACAGAGCATTGGTAATTACTAGTTGTTAGTATGAGCGAAGCAGCTAATGTGATTGATACGAAACTTTTCTATTCACGTTTTTCTGACATTGTTCAGCGATACTTGTTTGACTTCATTTAAGAATCTATGATCTAAGACTATCGGAAGAAAAAGTTAACTGCTATCTAGTTCGTTACTTTTTTAGCTCATAATTGACAAATCAAGTTAAGTTATTTTTGACTTGGGCGACTTGACTTGAGAAAACGTTCAGACGATTTGTGATTTGACTTTTTCTTTTTGTGACTTGACAATAAAATACAACTCAAGTGAGATCTATTTTGTCAGTTAAAATTTCTGATAGATTTACATGAAGTAAAGTTATACTTTTTATTCTAATATACAAAATCCCCTTTAATCAATTGAATTGAATTGAGGTTGGCAGCAGAAATGATTGTTTATAATGGAAATCCTCAATCAACCTGTTATAATCAAGTTTGTTTCTTAATTGAAATGAAATGAAAGTATATTTGTTTTTGAAAAAATGATACATGATCATTAGGAATCTCAGCTATCGAAATAAATGAAGAACAGCCACATTTATTTGATCTTTTCATTTGCATTTGAATCTATTTTTCATTTTTTATTAGGTTTATATGAAATGCATTTTTTCTTATTCGAAGAAATATTGTATCACGTCTCATATATCGATAGTCACAATTCTGTTCTTTTCACTGAAATCAATTGTTTTCTTTGAAATTCAGGTGAAAGAAATGTTATCATTTTATTGAATCGTGTTTAACAAGAGATTATTTACAATAGATTTTGTTCGGTATTTATCGGACATTTTTCTACTTTGATACGTGCAGATTAATTTATTGATTTTGAATTTTTTTCAATAAATGTTTATATAATAGTTCAGCTGAATTTTGAAATATTTGACGAAAAAGACTTACTAATGTTATTGTATTTCTGGTGTTTATCGAGGAATGAATACTCAAAGAATGATCAAGAGAGCATAATTTGGTATTCGATCTTAACTCAGATTGAAACATCTGATGTATAGAGGTCGACAGAGATTTGTTTTTTCGATTTAATTGATCTTGAAGGTTTGATTTGATATTAAAATCAATTTATTCTGCTATGTACCTAAAGTAAAATCTTGTGAATTCCGTTGCTCACTAAAATATGTCGAGTGTGAGAAGGTGTCTGAACGTAATCGATTCGGTACATTGATTTTTTGTTGGGCTTATAACAGAACAAATTGCAAGTGACAATTGAGAAGTAGAATTTGAAGATCAAATTTCAAATGGTAAAGTTCATTGATTTGCGTTCTAGTATCAACGATTGTTTCTTCTACTTACATTTATCTCTTGGTTATTAACAAAATAAAATTTTAAAAATTATTTCTTTTGTTTTAATAGAATTCTACAAAACTAAGATTCAGTTAATTCATCACAAAGGATTCGAATATGTATTTGATTTCTCAAGATTTCGGATGTCATGTCCATCATACTACGTTAATACAGGTTTTGTAATTGTATTTCATAGATTTTAACTAATCATTAATGTATAATATAATTATTTAGTTGATGAAAGAGAATATACAATTGATCAATGAAAAGAATTAATATTTGATGAACTTGTTCAATATGAATTCGACCAAATACATAAATTTTCAAATGGAAATAAACATTCATTCACTGATCAACTGATGAAATAAATTCTCACTATTCAATTAACATTTCTTTTCATCCAATTTATTATTATTATTATTGTAATAATCGTTAAATTAAATGTTCTCCTTTTGTTTTTGTGTCGGTGACAATCAAGGCTATAACTTTCAAATAAATATTATTTCTTCTATTCATATCAATGAGATTTAAATATTTCTATCCTCTCTTTATAATATTCAATCATCAGTGAAAAATGACAAACATTTTAATGAGAAATAAATCTATTGTCTCCAGTATTTGGTTGTTTTTATGACTGCATGTACAACGTTTCATAAGTATATATCTGTACGTAAGTCTGACCAAAAGTTCTAAGAACATTAAATAGTAATGGAAAAATAATGAGATATTTTCAATTTTATTTTATCAAATGCTGAGCATAGTTGCCATGATTATTTATGTCCGGGTCAATCCTTTCTAACAATTTATTAAAAGTTTTTTTGACCTCTTTTTTCTAAAAAAATTTTAGCTACCTTGGATACCATATGAGCTAATCATGTTTCATTTATTTAATCACTTAAACTACATTAGATAGAATTAGTTAGCGAAAAATTATATAGTATCAGGCCTGGCAAATATGTTGGGTATGACATTATATTGATGTCTTCTTCTGTCATAGAATTAATGACACTGGACGATTATGAAGTAAACGACGATCGTCAAGCAATTTTGTACATTTTGAATCTAATGTCCATTTTTTTTCCATATTCCATTAACAAAAGGCTTCGGGCAATTTTCAATATAATAATTGTGATCTACAGTCTTGACTTTATCTACGCTCAGGTTTATTTGATTTAAAGAATATACTAAACAAAGTTTTGGTTAAAATCTGTTTTCGTGAACAACAATCTTTGACAATTTCGTCTTCAATAAGCCAGTTAGCATTAGAAGACTTATGACTAACCTATCTAAAATAAATCGATATCACATTACTAGTAATGCTAGAATGCAACTGACATGATCGAACAAAATTCCATTAAATTTTTAAAACAAACAAAATATAATTAGCTCATGTGGTATCCAAGGTAGCTAAAATTTTTTTAGAAAAAAGAGGTAAAAAAACTTTTAATAAATTGTTAGAAAGGATTGACCCGGACATAAATAATCATGGCAACTATGCTCAGCATTTGATAAAATAAAATTGAAAATATCTCATTATTTTTCCATTACTATTTGATGTTCTTAGAACTTTTGGTCAGACCTACGTATAAAGTGGCCCGCAAAAGTTTAAGATACTTTTATTTTTGAAGTTTTTCATCAAAGATGAGTAGCTAGGTCAAATCCAAATAGTGATTTGAATAGTTCTTGAAATTCCCTATCGAGTACAAGATGTGTTAAATTTTCAAAAGAAACTTTATGAAGAGAGTTTTTCAAAAAATCGTACGAGGGGATTTCAAGTCCTAGAGAATTTTAACAAAAAGACTTTTCAATATAAGCATCTGAAAGATTAGAAAATTCTGAACAAAATGGGGGATCGCCCAGCTCTGTACGATATTCCGTCACAGAGTTATAAGCATGAGAAAAAACGAAAAAGTGCGGTTTTAATCGAATTTTAGGGCCTTTTTTGATAAAATTCGATTAAAACCGCGTTTTTTCGTTTTTTTTCTAATTCTTATAAGTTTGTGACGGAATATCGTACGGAACTGGGCGATCCTTTATTTTGTCTAGAATTTTCCGCTCTTTCAGATGCTTATATTGAAGAATCTTTCTGTCAAAATCCTCTAGGACTTGAAATTCTCTGGCACAGTT